CAAGCGTGGGGACGGTTGAAGATTGTGAAATCCTTCGAATCAATTCATTCACGCAAAAGTCATCGGCGAGTCAGAGTGTGTGGATTTAGTGGTTGTGTATGCCGCACCCACAGTTAGTAGAAGAAGTGGACTCTGGGGGCAGCTAAAGGATGTGGTGAACAGTGGGGCCGCTAATTGGGGGGGGGAGATTTCAATACCATTTTACGGCTGGATGAGAGGACGGGGGGAAGTGGAAGATTATCACCGGACTCTTTAGCGTTTGGAGAATGGATTAATGAACTCTCCTTGATTGACTTGGGTTTTAAAGGAGGTAAATATACTTGGAGAAGAGGGCGGATGGAGAGTACTTTTGTTGCAAAAAGGTTGGATCGTGTGTTCGGATGTGCACAAGCACGCTTGAAGTGGCAGGAGGCGATTGTGTCACATCTCCCTTTCTTGTCGTCGGACCATGTCCCGCTGTTTATACAATTAGCTCCGAAAATGAGATGTGACCCGCGAAGGAGACCTTTTCGTTTTGAGGCAGCTTGGTTGAGTCATGAGAGCTTTAAGGAGTTACTTACGAATTCTTGGAATCCAAATGTTTCCACACCGCAAGCGTTGGAAGGGCTACAAAGGACGTTGCGGAAATGGAATAAAGAAGTGTTTGGTGATATTCATATGCGGAAAGAGAAGTTGCTGGGAGATATAAAGGTGATCCAAGACAGGCTGGTGGACATACAAACGGATGAGTTGCTGGCAGAGGAAGAGCAATTGTTGAAGAATTTGGATCTTTTACTTGAGCAGGAAGAAACGTTGTGGTTTCAAAAAGCAAGGGAGAAAGCCATTGCACTTGGGGATAGAAACACATCGTTTTTCCACACGTCTACGGTGATAAGAAGACGGAGAAATAAAATTGAGATGTTGAAGGATGGAGAGGGCAGGTGGGTCTCGGATAAGGAGGAATTGGAGAAGCTGGCCGTAGAGTATTATCTCTAACTTTATTCTCTAGAGGATATATGTCCAGAGAGAGCTCTTCTACCTAAGGAGGGTTTTTATGAGATGACCAGGGAGGAAAAGTTGAATTTAGCAAAGCCGTTTACGGAGTTTGAAGTTGTGGTTGTGGTAAAGAGTATGGGTAAATTTAAAGCATCGGGACCGGATGGATACCAACCCGTGTTTTATCAGAAGTGCTGGGATACTGTTGGGAGTTCGGTTACAAGGTTTGTGTTGGAGTTTTTTGAATCCGGTATACTTCCACAGGTGGCGAATGACGCTCTCATTGTGTTGTTGGCAAAGGTGGCAAAACCCGAAAGGATTACACAATATCGACCAGTGAGTTTGTGTAATGTGCTCTTCAAAGTTATTACAAAGATGATGTTGATTCGTATGAAAAGTGTGATATCAAAATTGATCGGACTGGCCCAAGCGAGCTTTATACCGGGACGGTTAAGTATTGATAACATTGTGGTTGTTCAGGAAGCGGTACATTCCATGAGACGAAAGAAGGGGCGTAAAGGGTGGATGTTGTTGAAACTTGATCTAGAGAAGGCCTATGACCGAATCCGATGGGATTTTTTGGAAGAAACTTTGGAGGTGGCAGGTTTCTCCACGGAATGGGTGAGCAGGATCATGGCTTGTGTGTCGAAGCCGGCGATGAGCTTACTATTTAATGGAGAGAAGACGGATTCTTTTATTCCGGCTAGAGGTTTACGACAAGGAGACCCTTTATCACCATACCTATTCGTGTTGTGCCTTGAAAGGTTATGTCACCAAATTGAAACAGCGGTGGATAGGAGGGAGTGGAAGCCGATTAATGTGTCGAGAGGGGGTCCACAACTATCCCATATATGTTTTGCGGATGATCTCATCCTCTTTGCGGAAGCATCCGTAGCACAGGTGAGAGTGATTAGAAGCGTGTTGGAAACTTTTTGCAAGGCGTCAGGGCAAAAAGTTAGTCTTGAGAAGTCAAAGATATTTTTCTCATCCAATGTGAGTAGAGATATGGAGAGATCAATCAGTGAAGCTAGTGGAATCGAGTCTACTAAAGAATTGGGAAAGTACCTAGGGATGCCGATTTTACAAAAAAGAATAAACAAAGAGACCTTTGGAGAGGTTCTTGAGCGAGTATCGTCACGTTTGGCTGGCTGGAAAGGTAAAACTTTGAGCTTGGCGGGACGAATTACATTGACAAAATCCGTACTATCGTCGATACTGGTGCACTCTATGAATACTGTTCTACTTCCTGCGTCGACTTTAGA